TTCTTCAAATCAAACTCATTGATTCTTTTTCTTCAATTCATCACTTGTTTGATTCCTTGTGTTTTATCACGAAATTAACATTATTCATTTCTTTATTTCTTCACTCTTGTCTTTATTTATTTTGCAAGCTTTCCCGAGTTCAACTGTTCGTAACAGTACACCTTTGGACCATGTTGATTGACGTGTTGCATCTTTCTTTGTCAATCATCAAAACAACCTAAATCCCAACACACGGGTTCTAACTCTAAATTAGTGTCTTTTCTTTGTACTCTCGAATCTGTTTGAAATTGGTTCCTCGTCTTTGCTTCTATCACCAGAACCTAGTTCTTTCTATACATTGTCAATCCTCAAAACTGAAATGTTGAACTTTGACTTTCCATTGTTAACAATAATAACCTTGTTCTTGACGTGATGTTTTCTCCATACATCCAATTCAAACAAATGAAATGGTAAGTCGTATAATAATAATAATGAATCTTTTCTTTAAAATATGAAATATAATCATTTGTTGTTGATTACTCAACAAATACATCTGTGATAATTTCAGAATTTCAAGATTAGGCAATTTAAGAAACACGTTTACTCAATAAACTAACCTATTAAATTGTGTCATGTATATTATTGGTGACGGCGATTGAATTTTCATTAAAAAATTTTAAAATATGATAGATAAATACATGAAGAAGTCAAATGGAATTTAACATCCACTTTATATACAAAAAATAATAATTTTAATCATATATAAATAATGTCAGTGAATCTTACCTGGCTCCATCCCTAGATAGATAATTATGTGAAGAACCCTCAGGCCTCATGTACCATAAAATGCACGAGAATTGTGATTTTTGTCATGAGAAAGTGACAAGTAGTACGTTAATAGCTTTATAGAAATGGAATTTCCAGATAGACCTCTCTTTTGTTACTATTTATGCGGGGTGAAATTTTTTGAAAAATGTTACTCTTTAGCCGTAGAAAATTCAAGCTCACCCATATGGGGTGTTTCATAGGCTCGTTAGGGTAATAAGCTAGGCCTATTAAGTTTTATATAAACACACATATGGTGTGTATTTCTAGATGAACAACAGACACAAAAAATATAATAGATATAGAGAATATAGCAATTCTACGCTTTGTTCTTTCCTCAATCGATTAGGGTTTAGATGGTGATATAGGAGGTTGCTCCAATATATTATGACAATTATCATCGATAAAAAATTTTTAATCACGGTTCATTCTATCGTTTCCGCTACGAGAAGAACAAATAAGTTTTCTTTTATGAATTACATATGTTATGTAATGAGTTTTAGATTAATGATAATATGCAACCTCACAATGGTATCAAGAATTATAGGTTGATTTTCTAGCTATACGTGAAAATATAGATCTATGTAAAAAAATTATTATTGATTTTAAATCTAAAATGTTTTCAGATTTCAAAGAGAATTTTTTTTTTCAATTTCTGGAACATTTTTCAGATTTGGTTCTGAAAAAAAATTGTTTTTTCACATATCTGGAAGATATGTTTCAAATTTTTTAGATCTATAATTTCAGGGATAACCAGAAAATCAACACATGACTCTTGATACCAATATAAGATTACACATCATAATTAATTTGAAATTCATTAGATAACATACGTAATTCATAAAAGAAAACTTTTGTAGCGAAAGTAGAATAGTAGAATGAATCGCGGTTGAATTTTACTGATTGATGGTGATTGATGGTGATTGTCACAATATGTTGGAGTAATCCTCTCCTAATTGATTGAGGAGAGAATGAAATGTATGATTGTTATATTCTCTACATTTGTTGTATTTTATGTGCCTGTTGTTCGTCTATAGTTACACATCATATGTGTGCTTATATAGGACATATTAGGGTTAGCTTATTACCCTAATGGGCCTTTTGAAAAAGCATTCCTTATGTATGGGCTACCCTTTTTAAAATTAGAAGAAAATAAGTTTATTTGAAAAAAATATATCATAATATTTATGCTGACTAAATATGAGTAAAAAAAAAATCTTCATGCCAAACATACTCTAATTAGTAGTATGCTTTTTAGTAGGCAGAATGATCTCGGAAATTCTTGTACATAGGTTTGTTTGTCACCTAGACCTAGGGTTGTTCATGGCTATGGTTAAAAAACCAAATCGAACCGCAATTCGAACCAAACCAATTAAAAAAATTGATATTTGGTTTGATTTGGTTTTAAATTTTGAAAAACCTATACTATTTGGTTTGGTTTTGGTTTTACTAAAAAATAACTGCAAAAATAATCAAACCGAACCGAAAAATTATATATATATATATATAATTTATAATTATTTATATCATTCATAAATAAAATATAAATATTTTGTTAAATTTTAAGTAACTTAGGTCTTTAACTTTACCATTTTCTCAAGCCCAACACTTAAATTTTAGTCCATCTATTACAATCATAAGTCCAATTCCATCAAAATTCATTACTTTAGTCTTTACATACCATACCTTTCATAAAATAGTTACACCTTCTCTTAATTGAATCACTTTGTTCGTGTAATAATAAATTTAATATTGTTTAATTGATTAATTGAACCGACAATAACTTTTCGGTGGATTGCTCATGTTCTAGGTGTTTGTCTCTATCAAGATACGCATGTCCTCAAAAATTTATTACTTTCAAATAAAAAAAACCAGAAAAACTGAACCAAACCGAACCAAACCATCAATAACCAAATCGACGGTTATTTTTTTTGTTTCGTTTCGTTTGGTTTTAGATATTTAAAAAACCGACTAGATTGGTTTGGTTTTGATTTTAACCAATAACCGATCCAAACCAAACCACGAACACCCCTACCTAGACCTTTCAACTCACGTTTTAATCAACTGAACAGTTAAAGTTATTAATGTTATCTCCTGTATAAAATTCAACAATTAAAACACATTATTTTAAACTCTTCTGATCATGTGTGCCTCTCAATCACGTTAATATGGATTAAACATCACTATCTACATCAAATATAAATTGTCACATCGTTTTTTTATTACAAATAATAATTTTTAAAAAAAATCTCAAACTCATCTCCAAAATCCTTTCTTTCTTCATTTCTTTCTAGTCTTTCTTTCTCCCATATCTTTCATCTATTTTGCTATTTAAATTTTATCTTATCATTTTTTTTCTTTCGTGGTAAATCTATTACATTGAAGAGGCACTAGAGAAAAGTAAAGTTTTATTATGATATTTTATTGTAAATTTTGTTATTTTAATTGTGGTTAGCAAGTGACTAAAATAGAGATGAGAGAAAGAAAAGAAGAAGACAAAAAAAGGGCCATTATGAAAGAACTCATCCAAAATGCTCTAGATAAAATTGAGTTCAATTTGAAATAATCAAAAATATGTTTTTCATAAATCCATTTAAAATATGCATCTATTTCACACTCAAAAACCTTCTTTTATTTTCCCTTTTTTTTCCACCCAAATCTAAATAAATATATTTTCCCCCTAATCATTTAAAATTCTCAAATAATAGAAAGAATATGAGAAGAGATAGAGAAAGAATTGTGTGTAAGAGTATGAAAAGAGATAGAAGAAGTGTTGTGGTGATGGTGGGGGATGGGGGGAACTATGAGGAAGAAGAAGAAGAAGAGGCTACAGTAGATCGATTAGGGATGGGAGTTTTTAAAATTTATTTTTTAATTGTTATATTTTTTTCTTTTAGTTTTGATATTTTTTTCAAATTAAAATACTCTCTCCGTCCTTTTTTATATGTCACATTTTTACTTTGCACTTGCATTAAGAAATGATGTAACTTTACCATTCTACCATTATTTAATATTTTCTTAAGTTAACTTTATAATAAATGATGAATACATTTTCAAGATTAATTAACTACTCTATTAAGGGTATAATAGGCAAAATATGATAATTTATGCATAAATTTTATAAAATGACAAGTATTGTGGTCCAGCTATTTATAGAAAGGGATGGCATATAAAAAGGGACGGAGAGAGTAATTGTTTTCACTTGCCATTAAACGTGTGTAATCATGCTTTTTATCTGATTCATCAAAAAAATGTCACGTGTGTAATCATGTTTTTTATCTGAGTAAAATGATTTAAGTGACAAACGAAGTCAAATACAGGGGTCTTCCACGTCATTCCACCTTTTAAGTATTGATTTAACTTGGACTTTAAGTGATTATTTGAAAAGGATATGATTAGAGTATAAGTGCTAAAATAAATAATTGTGGTATTAATTACATTAATGTTTTTAATCCAACACATAATATATAATTTTTATCTCTCATGCTCATAATAGCACCCTCGTTTGTTTGAGAACAAGCTATCTTATGATAAGTTATTTTGGGATAAGTTAATCCATCATATATATGAGATAACTTGTTTTATCATTATGATATAAATGGTGAGATAAATAGTTTAAGGTATCTAATGCATCCAACTATACGCAAGATAAAATAATTATGCATTTTGTAACATCAACGTCCAAGCTCCACTTTTGCCCTTCCTCAATAAATTAAATTAGGAAAATTACGTAATTACACAACTTAAATAACATAAATTTTTTAAAAATTTACTATTTGAATTAATTACAAAAATCATTTTTTTTTTCTTTCTCTTTTAACATTCGAATACATCACTTTACCTCTGTTAGATACATTACAGCTTTGTTAGTGTACAATGTGTCTGATGCAAATTTTATTGTTGATAGATAACTCAATTATTTCAAACTTAAATTTGTATGAATCTGATTTATAGTTATGTATTTTGAAATAATTGGGTTATGTATGAATAATAACATTGTACTAGATACATTGTATACAATCAAATTTGCAATGTATCTAATAAAGGTGAAGTGATGTATCCGAATGTTAAAAGAGGTAAAATGAAAATAAAAAGGGATTTTCGTAATTAATTCAAATACTGTAGTAAATTTTAAAAAAAATTGTGTTATTTAAGTCGTTTAATTACGTATTAGGGGCTTGGGCGTTGATGGAGTTGGCGGTTAGTGGTGAGAGCGGTATTATATATAAATAGAGAATTCAAAGAGAGGCAGAGAAGTGTTTTATCTTCCTTAATTTTCTCTCTTTTTTTTCTCTTTCCACCAATTCAGATCTGAGAGAGAGAAATTGTGTTTTGAAGAAGAAGGAGAAGAAAGGGTCATTCAATAGAATTTTGGTTCCAATGTCGGTGGTATCGCCATTAGCAAAATATAAGCTGGTGTTTTTGGGAGATCAATCTGTGGGCAAAACCAGCATAATTACTCGCTTTATGTACGATAAATTCGACACCACTTATCAGGTATCTTTTTCCTTCTTCCAATTTAAGGAATTTGGAATCACTTGTCGATCGTTAATGGATGGACAGATTGATTGATTCCAAAATTATGAAATAAATTAGTGTTGGTTACAGCTTTATTTGTTTTCTATTACGCAGGCTACCATTGGTATTGATTTTTTATCAAAGACAATGTACCTTGAAGATCGAACAGTTCGCCTGCAGCTCTGGTTAGGCTTCATTTTCGCAACTAATATTGTAATTTTATTTGTTTTCAAGTTATCAGTAGGATGTACTTGACAAAATGTGAAAGAGAAACCTGATTTACTTGATAGTTATAAAGTTTTCAAATGCACATCTATGTAGTGGAAAACAGATTTGGGGAAAATATAGTAGAGATTGGACAATCACAAACCAGTCTCAGTTAACAACATTCCGCTGTGGTTTTGGACAATGGACATTGAACAATGAATTCGTTTCTAATGCAATATGCAGGGATACTGCTGGTCAAGAAAGATTTAGAAGTCTTATTCCAAGCTATATTAGAGATTCTTCTGTTGCTGTAATTGTATATGATGTTGCCAGTAAGTGATTGCTTGATAATTCTTCCCACAGAATGTTTCTACACATATCTGTGCCTTACTCAAGAAAATTTATATTTGGTGATAGTACAAGGTTCCTACGGAGTCTAAAGTAATTAGTTCTCTATATTCATTTCTTTGGTTTAATGTTCAATGAACAAAGTTTTTGTGATAAATCATTATATCTGCAGACCGCCAATCATTTCTGAACACTTCAAAATGGATCGAAGAAGTACGCACTGAACGAGGCAGTGATGTCATTATTGTTCTTGTTGGGAACAAAACTGATCTTGTTGAGAAAAGGTAGGGTGTGGATGGATCTTTTCCGTTTGACAACTTCTTTACCTACTACTCATGCATCGATGTACTTCTTAGATGTTATTTTCCTCCGTATTCTGTGTATGATTAAATGTTTACCACCTATCAATTCCTCTTTTCATTTCTGGTCGGGACCTCGTAAAATTAGTTGTATATAGTTGAGATTTAAACCAGACCTAAAACTCAGTCAGAATCTAGCATGGATTTGCATAAATGTAATATATATTTCGCTTTTCAATATGTTATGTAAGAGAGTTATGGTTATGATTTTTTTCACTCGAGTAGAGGTTTCAGTAGTTGGTAAATTGACATTTGATGGGAATTTGTCTGAGTACCTAGTCTTTAGTGATGAGACACTGGTCCAACTAAAATGTTCAGTTTTCTAAAGTAAATAGTAGTAGATTGATGTAGATCTGGATCTCTTGCTATGTCCTTCTCTGGTCCAATTTCTTTCCACAGAAGAAAAGAAGAAAAAAGTTTCTGTAAGAGATTATCAAGAAGAGGAAATTGCATTTTAATTCCTGTAGACTATGGTTTATTTGCTCCACCATTTCTCAAACGGAAATGATACTGATTTAAACAGGCAAGTTTCCACAGAAGAGGGAGATGCTAAATCTCGTGAAGTTGGAGTAATGTATGTAGAAACCAGTGCTAAAGCTGGATTCAATATCAAGGTACAGAGACACTCAAGTCCTTTCTGCGATCTCCATTGAAATTACTTTGCCCCTTAGTCAAGTTATACTAAGGATCAAATATCCTGATCACTAGATTTTGCTCAAAATATTTGAGTTGGCATAACTTCTTTTCGTACTTGAATAGCATGATACTGAGAATATGAAATTGAAAATTGCAGCCTCTGTTCCGAAAGATTGCTGCAGCCTTACCGGGAATGGAAACACTTTCATCCACAAAACAGGAAGATATGGTTGACGTTAATTTGAAGCCTACAACAAATACATCCCAATCAGAGCAGCAAGGTGGAGGTTGTGCATGTTAGATTTGTACTTGAAGAGGAGGAAGAGTTAGACAGAAGTTTGAAACACACAAAGACACAGTTTCATCCAGTTATTAGGGTGTTCACAATTAGCAAATTTCTTAGTTTATGAGGTTTGCAACATGGATTTTTCTTCATGATGTGCAACAATATGTTAGACTTCATCAAGGAGGTAGCTGATTACAGGCTTCTACGAAACTTGTTGTGTTTATATGTGATGGTTCCTAACTAGTTCAGAAACCATTTATACCGGATCAACCTCCTAGTTGAATATATAATGAGATGCCATACGTATTTCACATTCATTTTAGTTTGTTGCACCACCTATAGTTTATAGATACACCAATTACTTACAAGTTACAGGGTGTTCTTTTTCATTGTCAAAGTTCTGATAACACCTGCATGTTATTTATACACACACTCATGAGGTGCAGTTTTTGAATCTAACGACAAATCTTCATAATCAATTTACGCCAGGTTCCTTGTGCATTACTTTGCTGCTGCCATCATACAACAGATTCATAGAACTATCTTTTCTTCCTTTCCTTACCTCTTTGGGCTGAAGTTGGGGTTGCGGTGGAACTGTGGAAGTGAAAGGTAAACTTCTGTTTTTTTGGGGGATTCGGGTTAGCTTGCGTGCATCTTGTCTAACATCACGATTTACGGAATATCTATCACCTCTCACTAGCATCACAATCCTCGCAACTTAGATGTACTTAATGTATATACCAACATGATAGTATAATCAAAGATTGAGCCAAGTTTAATTAGTTGACAAGCAGTGCGACTGTGCTCAACATTGATCATCGCCTAAGAAATAATTTAGAGTAGCTTAGATTCACTTTACAAACCTCAAATGTGCACTGGGTGGCAGGAGAAAGGCAAACTCTGCTTATGTTATTACTTATTACACAAGGTTATGTTGTGAGAGAAATAATCGGGGGTCATACGAAAATCAATAATTGCACATTATGGTGATGATAAATCGAGAACAAAGAAAACTATAATAAAGAAACATAATATTTTGATATCATTTGACCAATTTGCTTATCTATGAGAAAATCAGTAGAAAAAAGTTTAAAAATATTGAGATAACAAAAACTCATTAAACAACTACATGGTGGATATTATTGTATTCTTGAAAAAAAAATTCAGCTCAAAAGAAACATTGTTGAATTGGAAAAAAAGTTCTCTTAGACAAAAATCGTTAATTAGGATGGGAATATTCAACTAAAAAACGAAAGAAAGGGAAAGAAAGATTTTGGAAAGGATAACTTAGATAGGAATAATACTATTGAATTGGACTGATTTTGGGTTCATTTGGATTGATTACAAATGACTTAAGGTCATCCCTATTTATAGTGACAAATGGTCAATTAACATGCGATTTCATCAAGTAATTTGAAAATCATGAGATGAAATCTCAAGTTCTCCAAAAAGCTTGATTTGAGAATTTCATATCATGATTTTATATTTTTTAAATATAAAAATTAACTCACAAGTTTATATTTTGTATAAAGAATCCCACCATTTATCTACATCATTTTTTGCGAGAATATCCTAGGAGTGATGAAATATTCACGGAGTATGAACATGATGATATAGTGACTAGTGATATTGACCATGTTCAATTTTATTAAAGAGTAGTACACTAACTCTTGTTCAGTTTTACTTTTTTATTGAGCTAAAGTTCGATCAATAAATGTAGTATTTTTTTAAGAATAGCTTTGAGATCATGTATTACACTTGTGTTATCAACTTTTGCTTATTTGGTAAGATTGTATAAAGAATTGGTGCAATTTTGATAATTTTCAAAACTTATGTAGCTTTTATGTTTATGAGCAAAAAATACAATTTAAAAATCCAAATTATATCTCGAAACAAAAATTCAACTTCATTTCTATCATAATTTTACCCCACCCGGTCAAACGAATCCTTAAAATAAGTATCCAAAATACTACAATGGGTCATTCTAGAAGCTTCCCTTAAAAAAGTTTAAAATATTCTAATACTTGTCAAAAGTTGGTGTTTTCCAAAAATACATCTTGTCTACGCTCTAAAACTGATCAACGTACTATATGCATTTTAGGGCGATTTTACCTTCAAAATATTGTATTTTCACTATTCAATTTCTCCAACAAAACCTTGAATAGTAAACAAGCTTCTCTTCTCTATTTGAGCTAACATGATATTTTGGCAATCATGTTTTCCAGTGAGATTTAGTTGGTTTTCCAGTCAGAAATATCTAAAAGTTGAATGACAAAAAATAGTTTAGTGAGGAAAAATATGTAACAATTTGAGGAATCAAATTCCCACTCCCAGGAGTTGATGGAACATGAAAATAATGACTAAAACTTGCATAAATACAGAGTCCACTGTTGATCTGCCTAGTTAGAACAAAGGGTTTTCCATTAAAAAAAAAAAACATTTAGCAACCAGGCATCTATATATCAAGAAACATTTTTGTGGTTCAAAGTTATTACTCATGTGTCATCTTCCACCAGACAACTCAACAGCATCATGATTAAACATTGTATCTTCTCCCCAATCAAATCGTCTCTGAAGTCTCTCGTATTCTTGTCTACGGTTGACTTCAACGTGTTGCCACTCTTCCCATCTCTCAGCAAGCCCTTCTCCTTCCAGCATCCTCACCACCTCCGACATTGCTGGACGGTCCTCTGGTGATGCCTGAGTGCACAGCAATGCCACCTGAATCATCATCTCCACTTCATCCAGCTCGTAGTTCTTATTCAGGTTACGGTCTACAATTGCATCCAGTCTTTTATCCCTTTGCAGTTTTCTGACCTTCAAGATGATCTCTTTTTAGCAACTAATACTACATAAAGGTCCTATGAAGCTTAAAGAATAATCATGTAAAGTTATAAGAGAGGCTCAGGGTCCACATATCCACACTTTTGAAAGAGAGAAAAAATTAGCATCAAATATATATAGTCATCATATTTCTTGTGCCTAAAAGGCTCAATATTAAGACCTAGCTCATATTCAAAGCATTTGTACCCTGGAGCCACGTGAAAAATAATAATTGTTTACACCATTTCAATTATCATAGAATAATTGCAGCAGTTTCACCAATAGGAGAAAGATAAACGAATGTATATCCATCCAAGAGGCTCTCATGCAAAGGACAAATGAGTCGTCCCAATAGAATATGGAGAGAAACAAAGATTGGTCAGTAGAGATAAGATATATGAAAAGTTTGATGCAATAATTTGATGCCCATTTGAAAATATATGAAGAGCATTGAGTTAAGTACACTCACATGGTCAAGCAACAAGACATCATCTTCATCTTCTAGGCGTGAGAAGTCTATTGCACGTTGGCCGGTTACAATTTCCAAAAGCATGATTCCATAGCCAAAAACATCAGTTTTTTCTGATGATTTGCCAGTGGATAAGTATTCAGGAGCTATATGGCCCATTGTACCACGAACTTGAGTTGTCACATTGGTTTTCTTAACGTCAACTAGCTTTGCCAGGCCAAAATCACCAACTACAGCTTCAAAATCTTCATCTAGTAACACATTAGCTGCTTTAACATCACGGTGAATAATCTTTGGGTTACAGTGTTCATGTAGGTATTCAAGTCCACGTGCAGTACCCACTGCCACACGCTTCCTAGTTGGCCAATTCAAAACAGGCTCCCCAGGTTTAAGTTCTGTAAGTGATTAAAAACTTAATTAGACACCACTGAAAACTAATAACAGACAGATCAACTCTAGCAGAAAACTGCTGAAATCTTAAGCTGCACTAACTACTGCATGTAACACCTTCTAGTTTAAGCCAGGATCACAAGAATCAATTTATGAGATCACATAGCTCTTTCTTATCACGATCTGTGATACCAACTTAACGCACATACATCTTTTAATGATTTTAAAAAAAAAACTGAATACATCTATTAATGATTAATGAGGTATGATTTGAGTATTGCCCTTGATTTGACCAAAGAAAATTGCAATCTCCGAACACTCAACCCCTTTAATGAATATCAGAAAATAATTCTACAGAACCCTTAAATCTGCTCAGAACTTGTCTTTCCCTACCATATTCTGGGAGAAAAAAGGAAGCATGCAAATTTTACTCATGGTGACGCAACCCTAAGGCATTAAACTTCTAGCACTTCATTCAAAGTTGAAAGGAAAGAATAAGATTCTTTTTTGAGAAGGAAAAAGAATAAGATTCTGAAGCATGAAAACACAAATTAAAGGGTTTATGCTTCTGCCAATTAAGCTACACACATTAGCTGTATAAGCATGCCCCTCGAACTTGATGCCATGTACAAGTTCTTTTACCAGATCAGCAGTTCTACAGTACTTTAATAGTCAATTTAGACCGTACAATGACAAATGCACGCTTTCTTCACAGATCGAACGGGGAAATGACTCATGATCTTTTACAATCAAGCTGACAAAATCAAAATATGCGCCGCAGGAGATGTAAGACTAATGAAATGAAGGATCTATTGATTGGGATAAAATAGATTAGATGAAACAGGCACAGTAAGGGAAAATAGCATGCTCAGGATGTAAAAGAAACTACAATGAATAAAAGCAATGCTATGAAGAAACAATACCTCGTAGACGATAAGCAACACTTAGATTCTGCATATATGGGTATACTAGCAGGCGTTCAGTCGGTGTGGTGCAAAATCCTATAAGCCGTAAGAGATTCCTATGAACAGCCACACTTATCATCTCAACTTCTCGCTGAAATGCAGCATCTCCCCCAGGACTCTCATAATCAGTTAACCGTTTCACAGCAACTTTAATGCCGTCATTGAGCACTCCTTTATAGACCTTGCCGAAACCCCCCTGTCCAAGAACATTCTTTTCACTGAAGTTATCAGTAGCAAGCTGCAATTCCCTCCATGAAAATCTCCTCAATTGACCAAATGGAATTCGTCGATCAACCTCACCTGAGTGCGCCAAATAAAACATAAAATATAATATCATAATATACTCAAAGGAATCATACCATCTTGAAGGTAAATGAAAACTAAGTACTGGT